CTAGTCACTCCTTTCCTGTAAAATACAGGTCCAGCCCACACATATGCTCCATCAAGGATGGTGCTACAGGCCGCAAGGCAGTGCACTTACAACTACAATAGGCATGTTAATGTTAATCTACAGCTCCGGCGATCCACTAGTATTTGCAGATTTTAGCCGTTGCAAACCACACGCACAAAGACCTTTATGACACACTACAGGAAAGGGAGAAACCCCAAAAGCATAATGGGGCCTCTTTTTAAGAATAAACTTTCCAAACCATGGAATAACTTCTGACACCTCATCCCATAGACTTATATTTAGAAAGACATTTCTGTAAATCAGCTACTTTTTATTTGTTAATTAAACTTCTAAAACCAACACTGAACTTAAAAAAAAAGTATTAAATCCCATTCCCAAGAGCTTCCCTCTCATTTTGGTCACATTGATGGTTCATTAACTCAAATCTAGCGTGCATAAACACTAACGAGTTAAATTATCAAGGCAACATGAGTGGGCTATTGACTTCTAAAAAGCTAGCGTGAAATCAAGCTGGTTTGGTTATAGCAGTTATCTTTGCATCATTATTTCCATCACCTTTTCAATTTTAATATGATTACATTACATCATATTTAATTTCATTTAGCAACGAACCAGAGCATTAGTTGGAAATGGTCTAAATACATTTTTATTTTTTATAATGGCCAAGGCACCAGCGAAGCAGGTTGCCTTTAAAGTGGCGCCAAAAGATGTCAAGCGGGAGCTCGTTTCACAATTTTGGAATCAGGATTCCAAACAGGCGTTTTTTATATGGTGTGTGCTGTGTGTTAGCTAACGGTGGGTTATTTACACAAGCATTAGACATTATCATACATTAAAGTCATTTTTCTACCCATTGGATAACTCCAATATTCACTCGTTCTCTCTCTTCTGCTCTTCACTAACTCTTTCTGTCCTCTTTAGCTGCTAAACCCTAATGCCCAAGAGATGTTCCTCGTTGGGTTATACAATTATCCCACATTTCTCCTGATTCATGACACATTTTCACACAATTTTTACCTTGCATTATCACAACCTGTTTCTGGCATGGACAGCGTGTGTTTCTTCTCAGACTCACACCTTCCCCCCCTCAGTGAGTGAGAGACATCAAGAGAAATGGAGAGCGCTAAGAAAAAAGGAATAATGATGCCAATTTCAGAAGTCCTTGAAAGTAAAAAATCCTGTTTCTTTTAGAAACTTTGAAAAGAAGGGGCAATTGCATTTCTATAATTGAGGGATTTCTAAGGGGCAAGGTTAAACAAATTGTTAAATTAAAGAAAAACGATGAATATTAGTTTATCCATCGTATCTCTGGCAGGTCAATGTCAGATGGATTCATTATTCATTATTCTTTCCTGAGAATTAAAAGTATTCTATGCACAATTTAGCACTCTTGCTTTGTTGTTATTTTCATTATTTAAAAGTCATCAGAGTGCAGAAAACAAACACTGTGATACTCAATGTTTGCATAGGGAGCCGCCCAACGCCCAAGACACCTGTTTTGACTTAAAAATCATCCTTGTTTTTCGTATTGTGTTAACAATTATTTATCCAAGACTTAATAACATGTGTACCAATATCTTCAAGGATCTGTGAAGTTTTGAAGTCCTAGGCACGGATAAAAATCTCACTAATATTATTGTACAATAATATAATTAGAAACCCAGTAAAGATGTCGGGGTACTGACTTTCAATGTGGATCCATATGTTGTTTGTATTGGATCTATATGATATGGCGTTGCGGTTGTGCAAATGTACCAGGCTTTTTGTTTTCAGGCTGCCTGTGACCCGTGTTCTGGCCTCGAGTCCATCTCCCGTTTCACTCTTGCTCTTTTGTACATTTTTAATGAGGAAATAAAGGGTTTGAAAAATTAGCCTTGTCATGGCACTTTGACCCACACCGCTGTCTCTGCATCTTGAAGGAAATGTTGCTGTAAATACAGCTACTTAATTGCATGGCAAAAACTTGCTTTGGTCGATTGCCAAGGACTAACATCTGTCAGCTTTAAAAAGTGGTCTGGCAATCAGTGCTTTCATATATTCACAACACATGAGATAGAACTGGGCAGATTTTCTTAAAGCTGACACTTAAAGATGTAGGAAACATTGGGGACTTTTTTTTACAAATATTCGGCTGTTACTGTTTTTTAGGCCTTCTTTTCACATAGGAGCTTTTTGTGAGCGCAAGCGCCCTTTTTCTATTGTTTTCGATGTTGCGTAAGCTTTTGCATGTGTCCACCTCGAAAAGAAGAGTTGCACCCTGCGTCTTTTTTCTGAGCACTCCGCAATTGTTGTTCTGCCGCTTCAAACTGTTGAAATTGAAATTGTTTTACTCTTCACTGTCTGACAGACGACAACTACCATAACAAAGCCCGAAAAGGTAATTAGTTTGAGCCAATTGGCCGAGTGGACACTGGATATTACTACAGGAGAGTTTTATTATTTTATCTCCACACGCGGACCATTCTTCTCGCTCTACAGCTGTCAGACTGAACGTTGACAAGCTCATTCATACTGTACAAAGTGTTGGTTGTGACAGTGAAATCAATATATAAAGTGTAGTCTGTTACGATCACAAATCCGAATTAAAGCGCAGATAAAAAAGGAAAAATGCACTAACATATTTAGCAGAAAAGTAAAAGTGAAAAAACTAGGATTGAGGATTGTAGGTATATTTATTAACAGTATTTTTTGACAAAGACAATGATAATATATACAATGATAGTTTTTATATTTCTACATGTATTGTTTATTTTGGCAGAGTATGTTTCATAATTTTATCAAGCTACATATAAAATAAATACACTGTATTTTCTAAAGAATGTGACCTTATATATATATCATTCTTTTTTTAATTGACAACTTTCCGCTGCTGGATCAGCCTCACAAGTGGGGGAGCACCTGTAGGAGTCTGCCTGGGGGAAGTGGCGGGGGCGGGTGTGGTGCATCTGTCTGGGCTGGCATGCAGCTGTAGCTGGCATGCTGCTGCAGTCGCAGCTGCAGGTAATTGGGTCGTCAGTACTAATGTCTATTTATCTCTCCTGCGGTGAGGCTGGCGCAGCTCCCTGCTGCTGTCTTCACGCACTGGCAGAATATTCTCTGGACCAGACAGCATCACGGTGCGCCATTCGCCTCAACCTTCATTACATACAGGACAGCAACACTCTCCAGCTGTAGATCCTGGACTGCATACATGTGCCTTCTGAGGACCATCTGTCTGTATTTTGACTAGCCTGTCTATGTGCCTCACCCCACTGATTAGTTTGCCGGGCAGCCAGACATTTCCATCTATGCTGACCACATCTATCTATTCTGCACCCCCCCCCCCCCCAGGTTGCAGATATGTTAGATCCAGTGTGAAAGGACAATGTTGTTGTGTTTCTCTGTCATCTTAATTCACAGAGCATTTTTTTAAAAGAATGAAACTGCATGATTCTCTTTTTTCCTGCTACAGCAAAGATGTGCTTCAAAATTAACACATCCTGTGCTTTTTCACCTTCGCCAAGGAATAAAAATAGTTTTTGGCTCGGTATGTTTGTGCGTCTGTTGGTAGAATTTTAGAAATAATAGTGGAACAATACTCATGAAACTTTTTGCAAGGGTGTAGCATGGGACAAGGAAGAACCCATGATATTTTGGAGTCAATCACGGGGTGGACACACAAATTATGTTTCACCTTTTATTAACATTGGGAGATAGGACATTGCTGGCTGCATCAATGGGGAAATAATTGGCCAAATTAGTTCCCAACTGTGAAAATGGTCACGATCTGTCTGTGATTTGTTTAGTCTTGTCTTTGGTTTCCTGTTTTATTTTGAAAAGTGTTCACCCCCTGTTCTATATCGTATAAGGCTTCGCCCTCTAAGGCTATCGCTATTGGGTAATCCCCACTGCACGTGTGCAGCACTGACAGACTTAATCCACGCCCACCTATGACGTGGGCCCCACCTCCGGGCTCACTTCCGTATAAATAGGAAGTAGGCCCTACAATCCACTCCCACTTTTCTTCAGCACTCCGTTGCAGAAGCATTGTCAGGCAAAACAAGTTATTTTAAGAACTACTTACTAAAAAGCAAACATTCCTCCTAAAAAGCTTTGTTTTTCTGGTAAAATGGAGACTGGGCAGGAAAGTCAAGGTTGTGTCAGGGATTGCCTCGGATGCGGGTCGGGCTACATTATGAGCTTTGACAGGCACTCACAGTGTGAGTCCTGCCTGGGAATAGAGCATGCGAACGCTGCTCTCACTCCCGGGGTATCATGCTCGCATTGTGCCCGTCTCCCGCTGGCCCTCAGACAGCAGAGAGCGGACGCTCTCGCTGCTGCGGCCGCCGAGGACGATTGGCCCGTCCAGGAGGAGTACTCCGGGGACAAAGCCCTTGACTTCCTGGATCCGAGTGGCGGGCACGAGACGGACGACTACGTCCCCTCCATTCAGGGATCACCGGGTGATTCCCCCATCATCTCTCCCCTCCGGACGGAGGAGACAGGTATGGGGCCCGGTGTAGGTCCGGTGTATGATCCAGTGATCCCTATCTCCGCCACCACGGCGTTGCCGTCGATTGGCGGGATTCTCCTGGAACTCCCGGAGATTATATCTAAGGCGGCCGCCTGGAGAAATCTCCCCGTTCCCCTAGCTCAGGAGAGCTCGCCTCCGGATGATATGTCCGGGGTGTTCTCCCGGGTACACAGGGTCAGGATTGACCCGATCTGGCCACGCTTCCCGGCCATAAGGAAGTACCAGGAGGGGGCGGCGGCGGACCCTGGAGTAATGAAGGCTCCGATAGGGACATACGTGCCCCTCACGAGAGTGGAGGGATTCACAAATGTGGGTTTCCCGACCGTGCCTCCTCTAGAACCAAACCTCACGGTGTTCTTTGGGGCTAGGCAGGCCAGCACGGTTATCGGACGGCAAACCATGACCAAGATGGCAGGGCTTGACATTTAAATCGGCTGCTTCTATCCTTTCGGGTAACAAGCAGCGCGGTTTTTCCTCTGTCCCAGTTGTGCCTACACACAGTCGTATTAAGCCTAGCGCGGCTATTACGCACGAGGTGAATAGCACTGCACACACCTCCGCGAGTTGGAGTATAAACCCGCCTCAGGGTCCTGTTTATGAGCCTTCTCCTAAACAGAGACAGGATGAGAGCCGGTGTGTGATGCAGCGTGTGGAGACCCCTTCAAAGCCCTTTAGGGCGGGGCCCCCCTTGGGTTGCTTCACAGGCAACGGCGGCAAGGGCTCTGGCATGGCTTGTCACCATGACTACCACAGCACAACAAAAACAGGTACGCCCGCTCTCAGAGCGGTGCTCAGAGTGGAGGCGGCTATGTTTAATGGACGGATGGATGAGCAGGCTGACCCCCCGCAGTTCG